CTCACGATAATTTTCACAAGGTTATCGTAAAGGTTTCAATGCGTAGTGCATTTTTCTTGTGATGCTTTTATAGTGGTGTAAAGCCTTGCTATGGATCGAAGCGAAGAAACTGTTATTCAAGTGCGAAATAAAATTGAAGCTTATGTGTACGGAAAAAATAAACGGAGGGATACACCAGTACAGTACGATTAACGATAATGCGAAGCATTCCAACGTTACATTTGTAATAACAAGAGCGTGATTGTTCTCTAAGTTAAAGTGCTCCTCTAATTATATTTACGCAAATTGGGAACTATAAGCATTGGCGTATTACTCTGTGCGCATCGTAATGCACTTGTGCGAATGATAATGCGAACGATAATGAGAGCTCAAAACGAAATAAAACGGGTCGCTGCATCCAGATTTTCGCAAATAAGCTTCGTTAAGCTATATTATATTATTTTATTTTCTACCTTTCTCTGCAAAAATATAATTTATGAATATAAATTTTTTTAAATTACAAAAGATTATCGACGAAAATTTGATACTTAGTTTTATCAGCTTTTATCGAAGGAATCATCAAATTTAATGCAAGGCAGTATAATCTCAGTGAACTTGAAGTTTAGATATTTTGTTGATAAAACGGTTATATTCGCGAACTTATGGTAGCTTCTGCAATTTCATCGCGTTATGTAAGTAGAAAAATGTGAACGATCAATCTCGCTTACATGACAGCGAACAATGTCTCCGCAAGCTGAAGCGCTAGAAACAGTATTAATCACAATTAAAATATGGCTCGTAGAAGGTGCCGCTTTAAGTCCTATTTCTGTAACGTTTATCTCGACAGTCGTAAATTTTTTATCCAGATCACTTGACGAGGCGCCTTTCAGATACATCTGGCGTTCTTGCTTTATGCGAAAAAGTGAAGTAGTACTGTGTTATAAAATTATTATACAGGGTGTCTCAGACTAACCATATTGCCTATCAATAGCAGATTTCGGAGGTTGAGGAGACTAAATTTTTTATACCAAAATGTCGAGACTACAGTAATTTTTAAATGTAAAGTGTTTAAAGTTGAACAATTTAATTGTTAAAAATTCATACGTTTAAACACGTCGCATATTAATTTTTATGCTTTTATGAGAAATTTTTGTGTGTGTGTGTGTGTGTGTGTGTGTGTGTGAAATTTGTTAACGAGTGATATGGTTGATCTGAGACACCTTGTATATTTTACAATCTATTTTATTTTTTAATTTATTCTCTGAACAATATTAAAATAAAACAAATTGGATTCACTTACCGGCACAATGCGCAGCAGCAAAGTTGTTTACAAGTTGATCTGTAACATACAAAGTACATGCAGGTTGTAGCAGTGTTTAAAATAATTTTTTGAAAAATAATTATTATGCACATAAACTTTCACTGATATTTCTTACAAATATAAGTCTAATAAAAGAATTATATATTTACATCTAATAATCATAAATATTAGATTGCAAATTTTTAACTGAATATTTCAAAGTTTCTATGTGCGTTACATTACATAATATTTTACATGCAATACTTTGCAAATAACAGATAGATGGTTATTAGATGTAAATATATATTTCTCTTATTAGATATTTGCATGAAAAATGAGTAAAAGTTTATGTGCATAATAATTATTTCCCAAAAAATTATTTTAAATCTGGATGCACTTTATATGTTATAAATCAACTTGTAAATAAGTTCGCTGTTGTGCATCGTGTCGATAAGTTAATACAATTTGTTTTATTATAATATTGTTCAGAGAATAGGTTGAAAAATAATGTGAAATATACAAGGTGTCTCAGATTAACCGTATCACTCGTTGATTAATAGAAGATTTCTAAAGTTTCTCATATGATAAAAATATAAAAATATAAAAATCTATGTGTGATGTGTCTAAACGCATAAATTTTTGACAATTGGATTACTCATCTTTAAACATTTTACATTTAAAAATTACTGTAGCCTTGATATTGGCATAAAGAATTTTATCCACAAATAATCTTCGGAATCTATTAACAGGTGAAATGATTGGTCTAGAATACTCTGTATATGAAATTAAAGATATTATTGTGTCAACTACATTTGTGTAAAAACTAGTATGATTTTAAAGCAATTTCAAAAGGCAGTGTATTGTGACGATTAAAAATCTCAACATTGTATTGATAGTACATCGACATTAGAAATCAGTCTGTCTCAGCGTCAATTAAGAGATGTTGATAATGCATAACAATTATTAAGGAATTTCTTGAGTGGCATGAAATCAAAATTGCACGTCGTGTAGCATTTGGCTGTAACGTAATACCGTGTCGTATCTCGCGCCAGCATCGGCTAAGAGAGCTTAGTCACGCAATATTCAGAATGATCGCATTCCAAACGCGCTTCATAATATTAATTAGTGTGCTGCACCACGATCGCTTCTAGAAGAACGAGATAGGAACAACCGATGTGAAAGCGCGAAAGCGAGCAATAATTAATCTGTTCTGGTATCTTTAATCGCAGACGACCTCGCGAAGACTGGAACCTTGCAATCGATATCTCGCGTCTGCTGTTAGAAAATAATCTCATATCTCTACTTAATTATTAGTACGATAAGATATTCAATTAAGGCCGTCTTTCCACGTGGCAAAACTTATGTGATGAAAGATAAGTGCAAAATTTATATGACGAATTTTAATCCTGCATTACATATCCGCACTTTTAATCGCAGATTTATTACATTAACCTTTTTTACGGATGTATTTGATCAAAAAAATGCTTGCAGCTGCCCAAGCTTAGGTTTCTAACGCATTGCTGTAATATTAATAACTATTACATTTGCGTGTCTACGTTACGGTGTAGCAATGATTATTATTTCATCGAGATTAAATATTAAACCGCTCCATATTAATTTGATTATCCGTGTCGACAGTGAGAGGGTGAAACATTCCTTCAATGTCTACTTTAACATTGAAGCAAATATTACAATCGTGTAGAGTCGAAATAATCTAATAAGACGTAACTGCAACACAGTACTATGAAGGGAGTCAGTCACGCAATATGCAAGGTGATGTTGTTCCGGACATCCGACGGCGCTAATCAACCTCACACCGGTGAAGGTTCGCGCACGCGTTCCGTTGTATTTTCAATTTCTGCTTCATTAAACTCGATTGTCCTTCGCAGAATGCTCAGGTACCGTAACACGGCGGAATATGAGGGCGCACCGGCCGGCGCTCGTGGCACGCAAAGCAGTTTGACGCTTGGCGCGGCTGACATTTCTCCTGGATTCTGATGTGCCATAACGCCAGCATTTGAAATGCACTTGAAAATGGTCGCGCGTATTAATATCTCGATCGCGTGCTAAACCCGCCGAAATATTCGACGAGCGAGAATATCCGTTCTCCTGTAAACGCGGTCGCATCAATCTGGGAAACGTCACGCCTGTAATTCGTTCGCGAAAAAATTGATACTGCAATATTTTTGCGCAATAGCTCGCGCGGCTAAAAGAACTTTTGCACTAGTTTCGTGTCATCCGTGAATCATTATTTTTCGTATTCCTAGCTTAATCGCCTTAAAGCGCGCTGCTTCTACGTCGTAGAATATTACCATTAATTCCCCGCTCTTTTAATCAAGATTTATGAAAAATTCTTTTCATTAGCCGGCTTACACATTAGATAAGAAAAAAAATATATATATTTTTTCTTATCTAATGCAATTTCTTAACGTGTAGAAAATAAAATGCAGAATTTAAAAAATTTATCCCTCCAGATTGCAATTTTTTTCTACTTCAATTTCATCTGTCCGCAGACCGCAATTTCTCGCATTGTTGGCCAACAAAAGCCCGAGTGTCTTGAAAGCGGTGTTTCTACGTATAGAACTGTCATTCGCGAAGCTTCGCATAACTGCTTAAGAGTGAGTCACACGCGTTTGATATAAATTCTTGGAAATGCGTGACTGCGGCGTCGGCGTCGTCGGCGGCGGCGTCGCCAGCTGACGTGCCGCACTTTAGTTTGTCAACAGGAAATAAAGTCGATTGCTCCGCGGTAGAATAGGAAGACACGATGATCCCCGCTACTTTTGGATACAGTCGGATAATTCGCGTCTCTTTTGACGAAACACGCGTTTCGACGACGGAAAACGACGGGCAATCCGCACCGTCTCGGAAAGCCGACGGTTCCGCGGCAGACAGACGGCCTTAATGTTCGCGGCACGAAAATATTTTATGGTGTGTACTTTCGGGCTGTCGCCGGATTTAGGACGAAGGTCGACGGCGTGGCATGCCTCGAGAGCAGATCCGGCGATTTCGCCATCCGTGCGTTGCCATGACGATCGCGTGATCGATTTCGATCTCGCGAATCTCCAAACGTGCCGAGTATTCAGATTTCGACCGAACTACTCTCTGCATCGTGTTGTGACGTCAGCAGCAAGAAATGACGCGTAAACTTTTTGTGCAGCACACGTCGAAATAATGCTCGTGTTCGATAGAATGAACTCGTAACACCTGTCGGAAACATTTCCTCGGATAAAACGAATAACATTTGTTAAGAAGGAATAATACTATGAGATGCGTTTTTCGTAATGAGCCGCGCTACAACTGTTACAACTATTATATATATATATGTATGTGTTTGCTTTACGTTGCGTTCATTTGTAAGCGCGGACGATCGTGATATTTAAATGCCAGGTCGCTCCCGGCAATTATTGTTAACGAACGGTCATCATGTATAGGCTTTACAACGAATCTAGTTAAACTTAGATATTCCGAGAATACGCAGTTGCTACGTATTTTAATGATCTATTGAAGGTAGATTTAACGAAGCTGCCGCGCGCGCGCGCGCGCGACCGTCAACTATTATTAGAATGAAAATGTATCTGGTCTATACATGTTATCGCTTTCAGAATCTGCACATGCCGGAAAATGAAATCCATTTATCTCTGTCCGTCTAAAATAATGATACGCATTTTGCGAAACAATCGGTCCGTTTAAACCGTTTATCTTCTGATTTCTGTTGCAGATCGAAGCTTTTTAGTGGCAAACGCGCAACAGGGACTATGCCACATTATCTACTGCTCGGACGGTTTCTGCCGGTTGACGGGCTTCTCAAGGGCCGAGGTGATGCAGCGGCCGGCGGTATGCGACTTCCTCCATGGACCAATGACGTCCCCACACGCGGTCGCGGCCCTGCGAGACGCCCTCGCCGCGGGCGTCGAAAAGCACTTCGAGATCCTTTACTACAGGAAGGACGGTGAGTAGTGGCTGTTAATTACTTGCCAGTATTTCGACCGCTTGCCTCGTGCAAATACACGATGGTGTTGTAGCATGGTGATCCAAAATCTCGAGTTGTGTGAACAACAACAGCGCGATTGAGCAATCCAAAGCGAAAGCAGAGTAAGCAAAGTACATCTAGAATGTGCAAAATTTTGCGATATACTCTCTGATATATAATATGACAAAAAAATTTTCTGCGTCATTAAAATTCAATTTATCGTGCAGCGTGAAAAACCGAATAAAAATACTTGGACTTTTTGACTTTTTACTCGTCAGTCTATGGCAATTTAAATATGCATGTTACGCATAACTAATTAAGTTTAAAGTACTGTTCTTGCACATATCCTGGCGCCGCGAAACCGGGGGGGGGGGGCAGAGGGAGCGACCGTAGCCCCCCCCTGAAATTTTTCTGTTTTCTTCAGGTATTTCATGATCGAAAATATCGAGTACCAAATATTTATATCAAAGATGGAAAAATGGGTTATTTTTTTTTTTTTTCCCTTTTTTTACTATTTATTCGTTCAATTGAAGTACACGAGGAAAATACACGAGTAACGAAAAAAATTAAGCGCATTAAGTTAATTAGAACAAAATATTTTTCGTACATTTATATTACCCACTAAGTGGCCTATTATTTGGTGTTTGAATGGAGTTACATACATATATATACATATTATGAATGTATTGTGTATCCCCTTTATAAATTTTGCCTCCTCAGATGAAAAATACTTCCGCGGCACCTGCACATATCTATATATGTAAAAGGAGAAAGAAAAGAAAAGTGGATATATTTTAATTTAAAGATAGTTAGAGAAAAAATTGTCTCCGCGAAAATCTGAATATGTTTGTCGTTATTTTAAAAACATTATTTTCATGACGCAGGAAACATTTTTTCCGTCCACCGAATAATGTCACGAAAACGTCTTGCCATTTCTGTCGTAGCAGCCGAGATAAACATCCGCACGAAGTGTCGCGCTAACTTTACGGTTATTGCCGACGGAAATAAATCAATATAGCGCGTTGTCTCACACGTAAAGATTTATTGGACGTTAGTAGCAAAGTCGCAAACGTAGTAGGCATCTTTCATTTCGCCATCTCCCGTTCTGAATCTCTCTTCGGTGAAAGAGGTATTATTAGAAATTTATGCAGAAACGCATGATATGAATCTACGCACAAATCAGTGATGGAAAATTATTTTATTTTACAAATGGTTTTTGATCTTATTTTAAAATTGATTTTTTACATTTGTTCTTTAGTCTCTTAACGTAGATTTGACTGATCTTTTAATTGACTACATTTTATTTTTATTTTTGTATTAAATAGTCTTGTGACTATGCCAAAATCTATTCATATTCAATTGGGAATATGTTTCTTTGAAACAAATCAGCGAAAAGACTTCGACAGATGTACAGTGAATGTAAGACAAGTTCCGTTATTTGGAGCAGGAAGATTGAATTTGTTCGCAGGCCAGTGGTTACTTCGAACTCGATTTTACCGTAGCGTCTGACCTTAGCCGCGGTGAAATCAATAGTCACCACTGTATAATTTATCATAGTCATAGTGCAGAACCTCCCACCTCACGTGGCTTCATATAGGTTTATAATAGCTAGTTTAACTTCTCAGATTTCGGACAACACCTTCATAAAAAAAATAATGAAATAATGTAATTCCATTTTGCAAACGAAGTTAGCGTCGAAAACTGTTTGAATGAAAAACGTACATGAATATCTAATAGCGATATGTGGCAGATCATCGACTACGTAAATGAAATAGTATGTAATAATTTATCAGCGATTAGCTGACAAGGCATGTAATTAATAGGTGCTGTGGCAGCGCAATTTGCACAAACACATTCTTATCTTGCTTTCATCTCTTTTCCCATGTTCCTCAGTGTCATGCCAACGCTGCACCGGAACAAAAAGTTTCCCCACTTTTCCTCTTTTCTCTCGCGCAAGATGGACGGGTACTCTGCCTTGTTGCGAGACGCGTTAATTAAGGGGTTTAATTAAACCTCGCTACGTAGGAAGATCGGAGTGTCGATGAAGCAAAACGAGCGAAGAGCACCACTACGAGCATCTGCAGTCCATTTTGCGAAGCAAAACACCGTGAATGTTAGCGTAAGAGATTCGCGGATAATTACGTGCCACAGTGATTCCACCCTTTGTTAAAACAATAAACTCCCGCGCTCCTCTCGGAGTACCGCGTATCACATGACGTTGATGGCCACTTTGCAAGCCGAAGGAAAGCGCACAATAGCTTCTCAGAAGTTGCTAAGAAGATAAGATAAAGACTATTTTACTGATGAAAGCAAATCCTAATCGTAGAGAATTTAAAACGTTTCTACGTTATTCAATACTCAAAAATTTTCGAATTTATATTGTTTTTGAAATTATATCACAGCAAGATAAATTGCCCCTCTCTCTCTCTCTCTCTCTCTTTGTGATTATTTTTTTCCAAAGGAATAAGTAAGGCAACAATTTCGCATCGTGACTATTATTGAACTACTATTGCATGTTGTATCGATTATTTCGCATCTGGCTCGCTTGGAGAGAATCGATTTACGAAACATAGAAAGCGCGTATCGCCGTGAGAATTAACGCAATGGGAGCTTTATAACTTGCGCGGCCTTGCACGGGTCTCTACCTGTGTTAGATGCAGTTACTGGCATGGAAAATTAATCAATGGACTGCCGAGTTTCGAACTACGACTGCGACATCCATTACATAGGTCTGCAGTTATAACTAATTATGCAAAACTTTTAACGACTGAAATATAGCATTGATAATTATGAAATTTAAGATGTCAAAAAGTATATATTTGCACTATCCCAAAAAAAAAATTATTGGAAAAAGTAAAGCAATTTCAAATATTAACCAATTTCATAAAATAGAATTAATAAATAAATGTTATCTCACAAAAATTAACTGTCAAAAACAGAAATAAATATGAAAAATGTCTTTTCGTAATATCGCGCAATGAAATAATGTTTTTTTTCTTTTTTTTAACAATATTGAGTTGAATAATAAAATTACGTAGTTCACGAAAAGATAAATTGCCACTGTAACTAATCCATGACGAAGATGTATGTATGTAATTGGTAGTTGTCAACCGATCCGCTTTCGCGATAACGCGTCACACGGGTAAAAAAAATTATACATAATCCAAATTAAAAAGGACGATTAATGGACTTGGGCTATGAAAATTGCAGATAGATAAGAGTGAGCGTACATCAATTATCCTGTCATAGATATGGAAACGCCCATTCATTAACGCTAATCCTTTGGTGTTAAATGATACAGACTTGTCAAGGGACATTCCTGACAAATTGTTTTTACTTGAGTAAGAAAACTGTTAGACAAGTGTCGACTGGCAAACTGATTTAAAGTAAAACGTATCAATTTAATGCTTCTTACTATTATTTTTCATTATTTATAATTCAAAGATTATTTCTGTATCTCGATATTTTTCGTGAAAAAGAATTAACGCAAAATCTATTATTACAATTTGACCTGTTTACTCTGAAGCATCGCTATATTTGCACAAAGATTTCAATTTTTGTCGAGAACTCAATTTTTTACGAACTTGTATCGCCGCGGAATAAAGAATGAAATGAACCAATCGTAATTACATCACCGTGACATCTGGCCGCCGTTCTCTCTCCGTTCCGCTCGATCTCTTCCATTCGTCCGTCCTCTGCCACGATGGCCATTTCGCGAACGCCTCTCCTTCAGAGAAGCTCTCCCACATAGTTACGCAACACGCGGTCGCGAGGACGGTGTTTTGAGGTATCCAAGAATAGCTCCGTGCTCGTATTCCACCCCCTTCTCTCGTTCCTAAAAACACCTGCCTTCCCTCCTCGTCGTACTCCTTTTCGCGTGTCTCTCTCTCCCTCTCTTACACACACGACGTCGTTTAGTCAATGACATCACGGAGCGGCGCACGAACTCGCCCCTCCCGCGTATGCTTGGTCCACCGGTGGCATCTACCACGTGTGACGTCACCAACCGCCTACAGCACTCCTCCAACCCTTCCCACCCCACTCTACGGCATCGGCAGCAACGATAGCTGCAAGCTCGGCTCTGTGGCGTCACAGGACAACGACCCGGCGTGCTGGCGTTCGTGGCGTTTGCGCCATGGCCGGTCGATCGGCTCTTGTCGGGCCGAGGCTGCAAGCTGGCTCGATTTCGAAAGCCCCGCTTGTCGGGGAAAACGGCCGGCCGGCACGGCATCGCCTGAGATGCAAGCTTACAGTCTCCGCGGTGGCAGCGGGCCGAGCTTTTGCGTGTACGCAGACCGTTCTATCGCGAGAGAAGAAAATCTTCGTCGCGGTGTCATGGTGGAAAAAGATCTTTCACCGCGTTAGACAAATTAATTGAGCCTATGGCTTTTGGTTCAAAGACTCGTGCGGGTTTATCGCGTAAACTAGTGAACGGAATACTGCAGTATTTTTAGCGGTAATTTTAATATGTCGAATAGTTTATAAAATTGTTGAGATTAAAAATAAGAAATAATATAATTATTAAAAATTAATGCAATTATATTATAATGAGTGAAGAAATCGTTATATTTATGATCACGTGGTACAAGTATATGACTAGCGAACTGACGTAACTTTTAATTCACTGATCGAGCTTACAGCTTTCAATACTCTGGAAGATGTCTGAGCACGTTGGTAACTTTAATATACTAAATTTCAAATAAGAAAACCGATATTATAAACTTTTTTTTACTTTATAATATAATTATTAGATAATTAATTATTACATAAAGTAATTATTACTGTATGCATATAGCAATAATATTGAAGTCTACGTAAAATGAGAATTGCATGTGAGAAAATATTCTTTCGGTATTATAATGTTACAGTATAGTTTTTTTTATGATGTAAAATTTTACAGACGATTTTACAAAGATTTTAGAATAGCGTTTTCCACGCTCCAAATTTGCTTCGTTTTGGAAAACCACGCTTTATCAAAA